CATGACACATTACCTTGGGGGCACTATTCAATAGATAGTATGTTGTAATTAACTGTAATATATTTAATACATTATAAATGAAATAAACTTTTTATTTTATATATGTGTCTTATTTGTTTTAACTGTGAACAAGAGTATATTTGTGTAATTTTACTAAAGTTAAATTTCTATTATATTATTGAAACTGGAATAGAGGAAAAAATAAAATAGAATATATGTTAATTAGCATATATATTTATTACATTACATTAGTTTGATAAAAGTAAAGATATTCACGAAGGGCATTACTTAATATACAATCATTAGATACATCACAAAAAGAACTTATAATTTCATTTATATTTAAAGTAATTTGAGCTGCTTTTATCCATTTTTATCGTTTTATGGTTCGTTGCGTCGCAAGATGGCTCTAGCACAATCAACAGGTAAATATTTTGGAGGGGGAAGTGATAAATTCTTATCACACTGTACTACATTTCATTTATTTCAAAGGTAATACCGACCAGTGCTGTAGTGCACTATGCCTGTTCCGGTTAAATACAAATGTGTCAAATGTGGTGGTGAAACAGAACTACCGAATAGAAAATGTATTCCATGCGCAACTAAAGATTTTTTTACAGATATGGACAAATCTAAACATATTCCCAGCTCTTATTTTGAAAAGAAGTATATAGATGATTTCAGAAAGGTTTAAGTGGTTTTATTTCGAATATATACAGTCACGATTTATTATTAGAAACTCTGCATATTAAATAAATAAAATAAATTTATTTTTATCTACGCTGTATTTGAGTGTCGGTGAGATGTAACCTTAAGCTTATTTTAAAAATGTCTAACAATATCCTTTAGCAAATTCAATTCAATTTCTTCTCCACACGATAACTTTCTAGAGTCTGATGAACTGCTGTCTCTGACTCCTTTGCACTGGAAACTCTGGTTAGGTCTACGTAAAAGAACACGTCAAAGTTGGCTTTATAATTGTTGAACTCTTTAAGTCTCTTCTCAGGATCTTTAGTGTAGCCCACTTTGTATACATTTCTAGCTCCATACTTCATGGTTGTTGCTATATAAACGTATCCTCCATTCTCTTCTGTTCTTGACAACGACATCCATTGAATAACTTCTCCAAGCCATTGTAGGATGTAAATACGTTCCAGAAATAATGTCATATTGATTTCCATGTATATAGTATGAGCTCGGATACTTTTCTCCCCGAGCGCTTTCTGATAGATAATATTGCATAAGTTCTTTCGATCTTTTATTACGTAGCCAATATTTAAACTCTTTTCCACCATTCAGGCATAGCTTTGTAGCCGTCTTATAGGTTTCCACGGAGCCGTCTCTGGAGCGATCGGTCTAATTTCAGAGACCAACGTCCGCGCTGTGATGTGGAGTTGGCATTGGAGTGTTTCGTCAGCATCGGGTTCAATGACGAAGATTATGCCGTGGTGGAATTTCCAGTTGCTGGGTAGTAAGACGGCGACTGGATTCCCAACCGTGGTGGCTTTTCTGATTGGATTCGAAAGGTAGGCGAATTTGTCTATT